GTAGAGTACCCGCCAAGGTCTCGTGTCCGTACCTGCGACATCACACAGATACACACAAACACACAGACAAACACAGGGGATGATGGGGTACAAGGAGAGGAAGGAATTCAAGGAAGGGGGAAGAGGGAGAGGAAGGGCACTTCAGACAACGTGCAGGCAAATTCTGCTTTCAACTGACAGGCGTTCTTTAAAAATGATAATTTCTCACATTCACACAGCTGCCTCGAACACAACGTTACCCCAAGTGAAAGAACAGCTTTTGACACTTTTTATAGAAGAAAAAGAATCTGTCCTGAAGCTGCTGTTGCTGAATGATTTTACAGCTGAATTAATCGTGCATTTTATGGACTACAGCCGACTGACTGCATGCTCGAGTTCTTGTCAATGTAAATTAGTGTCAACATGGAGCAGGTGCAAAAGGCAGTAAGTCCAAGGAGAAAAAAAAAACAAATAAACAAAAAAGAAGAGATTGGTGGTTCTGGCAAGAAATGCATATACTTCACATTTATGAGGACAAAATTGAGGAATTGAAGAGAAAAGAAGGAATAAGTAAGATGCGTAAGTAAGATGAGCATATATTCAATTTTAAATTAAGTAATCAAAGGCTCTCTAACATGCTGAAGTATAATTTGCAGGTTGTTAGATGAAGGCATGCGTGGCTCAAGAACTGCTATCATTACACACAACATGGTGTCATCGCTGGTATCTGACTGATTTATGTGGAAAAGGTGCTCAGCTGTTCGGGGTCGCTTGCTGAAAATGATCCATTTATATTTTTCATTTTCTTGCATGCCTGCAGCATTTTGACACCATGCATATATTAGAATTACAGTTACTGACCCACAAAACATGACACAAGTAGTGTATAGCAAGCCCCGTTGGCTTCATATATCTGAAGCAGGACCATGATTTATTTATGCTCTGCTTGGATTAAGAGAAAATGTTCCCTCTTGGTGTTAATACTGTTATGAGGCATGACATAAACTGCCATGACGTGCATGTGCATATGTCATGGCAGGCGTCTCCACATTCACAGCCTGAATGTACCAGTGATCACACAGTAGGTAAAAGTAACACACGCACACAAACACACGCACACACTTACCTTGCCCTGTTTGATGACCCTCTTGACAGCATCTGACACCATTTGGGAGTGATATTCCAGGCTGCAGCACAACACAGTGACAATTAAGAGGTGGCCAGAGCTGTCTTGTACACATGTTTTCTAAACACCGTTTCCTAAAGGGCAGGGAAGAGGGGGGCAGTGTTCTTACTACAGGACCTAAGAGGTTGACTCACTTGAGGTGCCTGAGCATGTTAGCAGCACTGAGCAGCATGGCTGTGGGGTTGGCGATGTTCCTTCCTACAGCTTGTGCAAAGGGGTGGCGTGCACCCTGAAAGAAAAAAAAGAGAGAGAGAGGGGGCCCAAGAATGATACTGCGGCATTGTTGAATAATCAAGAGTAATACCTATCTAAAACTAACTAACTCTAAACAGAGGAACAGGAATAAAACCAGAGAACTGCTGACTGGATAAACAGATGCAATACAAATAAAAACAGTGGAAAAGGTCAGTGGAAACTCACAGTCTCAAACACAGCATACTCTGCACTGTAGCTTTCCCCAGGAACAACTCCCGCGCCTCCAACCAGCCCTGCTGCCAAGTTGTCGATAATGTTACCATACAGGTTGGGCATTACCAGCACATCAAACTGGTATGGGTTCTGGACCAGCTGCAGTAAAGTAACACAGACAATGATGTTTTAACACAAGAAATGGAAAAGTCAACCTAAAACCTAAACAGCAAATCATTAATTAATTAAGACAGGAGAGTGAGCAGTGAGGCTGTATATACCTGCATGCAACAGTTATCAATGATTATGGTCTCATATTTGATTTTGGGGTAGAACTCTGCTATCTCCGCACAGCTCTGCAGAAACAGGCCATCAGCTAATTTCCTGTAATAAGAGAGAAGATGAAGACCAGTGTTACTGGAACTGTAATGCAAATCATCAACCAAATTAACACTATTTAATTAATTAATTAATTTATTAATAGGAGAGAAAAAATATATTTTTTCTATTTTCTTACATGATGTTTGCCTTGTGAACAGCGGTGACCTTGTTTCGCCCCTTCTTGGTGGCATAATCGAAGGCGAACTTGGCGATGCGCCGTGACTTCTCTCTGGTGATGATCTTTAAACATTCGATCACACCCGTCACACTCTACAGAGAAAGAGGAGGGTACATACATTTTAATACAGCCATTCTTATTTAGACTAACATCCACATTGCAAGAGAATGAAAACATCCCAACAACAGCTAGAGAGTCATTATATGAGAAGCAATAAATGTTTGGTCCCCCCTATGAGTGAGATGTGGTTCAAAAGAAAAACCTTAATTAAAAGGCTCACGCACAAACACAATGCATCATCTCGGTACCTTTGTCAGGGTGATTCATCTTTGTTTTGATACCCGGTTCAATGCTGGCCAAATCTCTGCCTGTTCAAGGGAAATCTCCCTCTTCAAAGAAAGAACCCTATCCTTTTCATGTGGTTTTAAAACCGCTGTTCAGCCTCTATGACTGCAGTGAGGAGGAGTGTTGTTTACCTCGTGCTCCAGGGAGCTGTACTCCCCCTCGGTCTGTTCGCGGATGATGACCAGGTCCAGGTTGTTGTGGCGAGTGCTGTAGCCCGGCAGGCTGTTCACATGAACCACGTTAGCAAACAAGTCCAGTTTGCGCCTGTGGAACGGATAGGGGAGATAGAGTTATTTAAAAAAACACACACATAAAATGCACAAATAAAAAAAACACAACTTGTTTTCCGGGTTTACCTCAGTCTCATCTCATATGAGGCCAGCTCTCCTTTGAACTCCATGGGTGTGTGAATCTTTCCTGGAAACCAAGCATGTCACAAACACATGTGTTAGGTCTATTTCATTCTCTTTAAAACCTCATAATGTATTTCTGCCTTTTAAATAACTCACATTTTGTTGTTATTAAAAAGAAAGTAAACTAAAGCACTACATAAAATAAATGTATTATCATTGTTATGATTATTTTTATTAACTATGAGGGGAGACCAAAGAAGACCAGTGAAGCTACCTTTCATGGCCACTTTGTTGTTCTTCATAGAGGTTAACACTTGTTCCAGCTTCTCCTCACTGGCCATGTTCTGTACCTCGCTCAGGTGAAACTCCTCAAATTCTACCGGGACATCTCCTGCCTGGAGACGAGACAAAAACAAGTCAAGGAATGAAAAACAAATACAGGACAGCATATATTAAAGCTGAATAAGCACAAAGTGAAGCAAGAGTGAGACAAAGATGAAATGTGAAACATAAAAATAATACGAGATACTCTGTTTTTTGTATTTTCTTCCACTATAAAATCTACCTTGAACACTTCCTTGACAGCAGTCATCAGCTCAGGTCCGACTCCATCCCCAGGCACCATCGTGACCTTGAAGATAGCATCAGCGCGGGCTGGTGGGGCTTCTGGGCTACAGAGACCAGCAGACACACTCAGTGGTCGAGAGGCCAGCTGCTGCCACCGGGGGCTGCTCAGGCCCTGAGGATGGTAAAGAAGACAGTCACAACAAGCACAACATGATAAACCATGAGACGACATACTTTTGTGCCACATCGTAGTTGTTACCCCCTTTAATATTCCCGGGTGTAATAATGATTATGGAGCTATTATTGTAGCAAAACTATTTACAAACGTGAGGAATC